TGTCTATGGAAAAATATTCAGCAGTTACTACGGTGACACAATGCACACACTGGCAAACACAGCGTAATAAGTTTTTAGACAAGTCTGAAACCAATTCTTGATATTTTGAAGTCACATCATGCTGGGGGGGGGGGTACTGCATGTAAGTAAGTAAGTAAGTATTTATATAGTGCTTTTCATAGACATATGTCACAAAAATGCTTTACAGAGCATTATTGAGCATTATTCATTATTTATTGTAGCCACAGCTGCCCTGGGGCAGACTGACAGAAGCGTGGCCAATCGGCGCCACTGGTCCCTCCAACCACTACCATCACTCACACACACACCACGTTCATACTTTCATACTAGGCAATGTGAGTAAAGTGTCTTGCCTAAGGACACAACAGCAGTTATTGTGACTGGCGCCCCGCTGTGGCACCTGATTTTCCCAGTGGTCTACCATCCAAGTACTAACCAGGCCCGGCCGTGCTTAGCTTCTGAGATCTGATGGGATCAGGCTTTTACAAGTCGCTATGGCCACCATGTCTATGTATGTCTCTGAAAAAAAAAGTTCAGCAGTCCCATTTACCATTGTGACACAATTCACACATTAGTAAACACAGTGTAATCAGTTTTTAGTTTGAGTTTAAAACCAATTCTTGATACTCTGCATTGACATCATGCTGGGGTGGTACTGCATGTATGTCTATACAGTTACCACGGTGACACAATGCACACGTTAGCAAACACTGCCTAATAAGTTTTTAGAAAAGTCTGAAACCAAATCTTGTTACTTTGCAGTGGCATTATGCTGGGGGGTACTGAATATAAGTCTATGGAAAAAAAAAAAAAAGTCCAGTTATCACGGTGACACAATGTACACATTAGCAAACGCAGCCTAATAAGTTTTTTAGAAAAGTCTGAAACCAGTTCTTGATACTTTGCTGTGACATCATGCTGTGGAGGGGTACTGCATGTATGTCTATGGGGAAAAAAAAGTTCAGCAGTTACCATGGTGACACAATTCACACAGTAGCAAACACAGCGTAATCAGTTTTTAGATAATCTGAAACTAGAAGCCTGTCATCAAATCAATCATCTAAGGCCCACTTAAGGTGTTTGACTTTTATTTCCAACAAACAGGGCTGGAGTGACTAACTAAAAAACTGATGGCTAGTGCTAGTGAGCTTATGTCTGTAATGTTATTCAAAAGGGACTTGTTTAACTGTACAAGATCAGATCACCTGTTGTAATTCCAGTTTAATAAATTCTTCTGATCAGATTGTGTTAAAATAAAGATGAAAAAAGTCGCCACACACTACAGGATTTTTTGGTCTTACACAATTTTTAAACGCGTGACAAAAAGCGCAAACCACTGAGATGAGGATAATCCTATGAGACTTAAAATCTCCGATCGCAAAGAGTGCAGCGGGATATCTGCGTACCACAGGCTTTAAAGTTGTGAGTGCGATCACATCACCTGTTTCGTGTCAACAGTAAAACCACTCGCTTTGAGACTCTTAAGTGTTCACAAAATCAGAGCTCTGCACTTCTAGTTTAGATACAAGTCAAAACTGTGTTATTATTATTGGTGAAATGTGATGCAATAGTTCAGATACATGATTTTTAAGGCATAAATGATTGGCGATAAACTCCATAGGAAGTTGAGTCGCTATCATTAATCTGCAGCTTCACCTCAATCCGTGCGCCGTGTGGATGTAAACAGACACAACTGAGGAAATACTCTTGCCTTTTTACTTTCAAACTGGTTTAATAGCGTGGTTTTATGGACTGGGTGTCATTATTTGCGGAGGAGAGTTTCTATGGATAATGCGGATGAGATGCTACACTTGAAATTTACCACTTTCCGAGAGTTGAGTAATAAAGTCTTCTCATTATTTTCGCTATATCCCGAGTTTGTATCTTGCGCCTCTGTGTCCGTCACTCCGTCTACCTCTGACGCTCTGTTTTATTAGCTGTTACCATGGTTACAATATGGCAGAGCCGCTCAGAGTCACACCGACACCACACACGGGGCAAAAAGTCAACCTGACAAACAGTCACGCCTCCCCAAACTCGGGTAGAAGCAAATCGCAGCCAAAATCCGGCAAATTCTCCTGTAGTCTTTGGCGGCCTTAACACATCTTCAGACAGAGCAGTGCCTCCAGGTAGTTAGTTTCACCCCCACCAGGTATTGTGCTGCAACGTCTCAATATACGTAATGTATTCTGCAAAAAACTAAATGTCTTGACTTCGAACTATTAAGATATTTAGATCCCTACCAATATGAAACACATGTCATTCTTGTACGAGTTGATATTTCAATCTCTTCCCTGGATATAAGTGAGGAAAAGTCTGTTCAAATCATGCGGTGTCAGGTTTTGTCTGGAAGAACTGTGAATCATTTTTACTTGCACCAGGCAGGAGATTTGTGATGGAAAGTGCCTTGGTGTAAAAGTAAAAAGTCATTTAATTTCAGTCTAACATTTAATGAATAATACATAATAGGCTTAATGGAAAAAAAAACTAATTATATAATCAGCCCAATCATGCCCACTGGTGTACATCTGAAGAAAGCAGAACACATGTCACAGTATAAGATTAAATAAATACTATATAACATTATCAAAAGAGGGGGGTGGGGTTAACTGGAGGCACTGCTCTGTTTGAAGCTCTGTTTCTCAATTTGACACAATCTGACCTGAAATAACTGATTTAGCTGAAACTAGAACAGGTTTGTGCTGGTAAACAAGTCACTCTGAAATGTAATTACAATCACAAGCTACCTAGTGTTTGCCAAAAGTTTTGCAGTTAGTCTCTCTCACTTTTTTTTTTTTTTGGGCTGAAAATCGAACACCTAAACAGGCCACGAGCGCTTAATTAATCACAGACTCTGGAAAATGTGTTGCTTTTTTCAGTGTTCAGACTATAGTACAACTTATTTAGCAGTGTTATACAATGTGTAACTGATGAACGTTCTGCCATAGACATACATGTAGCCCCTCACCCAGCATAGGGTGACCTGACGAGACGTATTTACCCGGGACAGTCCCAGTTTTGAGTCCTATGTCCCCTGTCCCAGCAGATTTATCCAAAACCAGTGATTTGTCCCAGTTTTATACAAGAAATGTCAAAAATAGGTGTCCCTATGTTTGACCAGTCTGATCTTACCAACTTTAAAAAGAGGCATAAATTGTCATTGTTTAGGTAAAATACAGAAAAGCTGCTTAAAAAAACACAAAGAAAATGTAAATATACTGACTCACATTAGTGCTGAGTGCATAAACATTTTCCTTAATTACACACTCGTTTCACAATTTCATTATTATTACCAACTCAAACCAGGGATGTCACAGTTTTTTATTTTGAAAATCTGACCACAATTATCACTGGATCAAGTATCAGTGGGCTAAAGACAAATTAATGCCTGATCACAAATTAAAGGACCAATATGTAACTTTCCCAGTAGAAGATTTGCCAACTACTTCAAGTTGTTACTGCTTTGGATTTTCACAATAAAATGCGTGTTTTGGGAGGTATTTCTGAGCTATAAAGGCACCTGTAAATGGTCAGATTTTTATACAGCTCTTTTCCACCTTCAAGGCACTCAAAGCATTTTACAACAAGGAACCACTCACCCATTCACTCACACATACATTCATACACCAGGGCACGCGAGCTTGGTTAAGTGTCTTACCCAAGGACACAATGACAGCATTTATCTGAGGTAGCTGGAACTACACTAGCCGACCTGTGGGTCAGTGGATTGGACCACTCAACCAACGATTTTTTATGCCTAGAGCGGGATTTGAACTGCCAACCTTCTGATCAATGGACAAACACTCTTCCAACTGAGCTACTGTTGCCCCTGTAATTTATCTAAAGCACACCTATTGTGCAAAATCAATATTTAGATCTTTTAACCATGTTATAGTTGTTTCCCTTCACCATTTACTCACCCGGATTTGTATGTGGAGTGATTTGTGCATGGTTGAGCAATCTTTAATTGCTTTCAAGATGCAGTTTTGTCAATCAATTCCCATTTTCACTGCCACCTCCATTCGCCCTCTCCTCTGTACTAACAGAATTCTACTTCTACTACTTCTACTTACTTCAGACGGTCAGACGGTTTCTATGAAGAGAAACCGGCTGATGAATCAGGCTAGTCAACTACACCTTCACAAGAGCAAATTTGTACAATATATAATTTATAAATTTTTCAAATCATGAGAAAAGTAACCAATGATTTTTTGTGAAAAATATTATTTAAAAATCAATTTAGATGCATTTTGAATCAATTCAAGAATTGTACAATAAAGTATGATGATATATCACTGAATTTTTACACCCCTATTGACCAAGTTCTGTAATTTTATTTTCTTAATTAGGATTCTACAGCATCACATAGTTCATTTTCATACAAATTAAAAGAAAACTGCTGCTCGCTAGTGTGATCTGCAGGTGTCCATCAAAGGTGCCAACAACTTAATGACTCTTTGTTGTGATGACGTTTACAGCGACATCTGCTCCGCATTAGGCACCATGGTTTTATAATGTGACCGTCAGTGTTCCTTTTATTAAGTCGTTTTAGATGAATATAGTGATACAGCGGGTGTCATCGATTATAAATATAGAGCAGACACAAGCACAATAAGTCTTCTTTAAGGCAATAGCGGGTGCAGGTGGCGGACCCATCACCAAAACGCTATAGTGCACATCTATAGTATAATTGGCATTTTTACATAAATTTTTTATGGTTAGATGGAATTCATGACCCTCCAGGGCTACTGTAGTTGCTTATATTGCACAGTAAAATATGAAATTGCAGTACAGACATTTACCACCAGCTGTCATAAAAAAACTGCCTACACACTACTTTACCCACAAGCTAATAAATACATGACAAATAGCTTGGTTACTTTGTTAAACCAGCCACACTCCCCTTTATTGACCCCTCTGTCAGATCCAAGCGTGTGTTTTTGTCCATAAATCACACGAAGGAGCCGAGTATGTATTACCTTGTATATGAATCCATCTGGACAGGCGTGGTCGTAGGTGAAGGCTTTATAAACCACCAGGAAAACGATGCAGGCGAGGAAGGCCAGGGCAAGGATGATCAGTATGGTAACCTGCAAGGGACAAACTACGGTCAGTGCCACAGTCATGATGAAGAGATATACAGCGAGATGGACGCGAGAATGAATATGGTTTTGAGAAGTAGAACAAGAAGCAGTAGTAAAAATGTGATATAGGATTAAATAAGCATTATCTTGATTTATAAATTAACTTTACCATGGTAATAACAGCATTGTAACTTGTTTTACTGGGTTAGAATTAAGATTAAGTTGAATTCTAATGTAATTTTTTTATGATGTTATGATTGAACGCAATGATGTGTTGTGTTTTCATGATTAATTACAATGTAAATACAATAATAATAATAATAATTCTATTTATTGTGCTATAAAGTGCTACCAGAAAAGGGATTCCAACAGTCGCACAAACCACATCAAAATTGAGATTAAAACTAATGCTGGACTAGACCAGAGTCAAACCAGAACTAGACCAAGACTAGACCAGGACTAAACCAGGACAAAAAAATGACTAAACCAGGACTAGACTAGGACTGAACGAGGTCTGAACTAGGACTAGAAAAGGACTAAACCAAGACTAAACCAGCATAAAACAAGGATTAGATCAGGACTAAACCAAGACTAAACCATAATGAGAAAAAAACATACCAGAACCAAACCAGGACTAGAAAAGGACGAAACCAAGACTAAACCAAAACTAGACCAGGACTGAACCAGGACCAAACCAGGACTAACCCATAATGAGAAAAGACTAAACCAGGACTAAACCAGGACTAGACCAGGACTGAACCAGGACCAAACCAGGACTAACCCATAATGAGAAAAGACTAAACCAGGACTAAACCAGGACTAGACCAGGCCTAAAATAAGACTAGAAAAGGACTAAACCAAGACTAAACCAGGATTAAACCAGGTTTAGATTAAGGACTAAATTAGAACTAAACCATAATGAGAAAAGACCACACCAGAACCAAACCAGGACTAGACCAGGACTAAACTAGGACTAGAAAAGGGTGAAACCAAGACTAATCCAGGACTAAACCAGACTACACCAGGACTAAACCATAAGGTGAAATAGACCAAGCCAGGACTAAACCAGGACTAGAAAAGAATACAACAGGATTAAACCAGGACTAGAGCAGAACTAAACCAGACTAGACAAGGACTAAGCCAAGACTAAACCAGAACAAACCAGGACTGAACCAAGACTAAACCATAATGTGAAAGGACTAAACCAGGACCAAACCAGGACTAGACCAGGACTAAACTAAGACTAGAAAAGGACTAAACCAAGACTAAACAAGGCTAAACCAGGACTAGAAAAGACTAGTCAACTAGGACTATATCCAACGACCAATCCAAGTTTACATTAGGACCAAACTGGACTCAAACCCAGACCAAACCAACTGTCAGGCTAAAGGAAAGAATGATGTATGAGGTTGTAATATGGATATCTGGGTAATAGTCTTGGTGACACCCGGTGCACCCATGTTAAACGTATGGGTGCAGAGGTGTAATAAATGGCAGTAGAGGCAGTAGCTGGGGTCGGCCTGTGCTCAGGGCCAGTCGTCCCTGTGACTGAGGAGATGGATGACTCCCACTCTGTTAACGCACCCCTCTTTTCCCAGGCCCCGGGCAGATCCTTCAGATAAACATAAGACATCACTGACATAAGAGGGGAGATACGGTGGCCTAGAGGGACAATTTTATAAGCACATTTGTCTATGCATTTGGGGAGTTTGGGGCCCACGAGCAGTTTTTCAGATTAGAGCAGCATTAGTGGTTGTAAAAGTGGCACATTTGATTTAGCAGAAACAGTAATTTAAAACAGCATTTTACCATATGGTAATATTTTGTTGACAGACTGTTTTAGTTTCACTATTTGTACTTTTAATTGTGGTCTGTAGCTTCGAATCCCTCAGCGATGAATGTTTTGTGCATGCTTTTGAATATTATGTAAAAACAAAAACAAGACTGGAGATAGTCTATAGTCAATTTTAACAATGCAATGTCAAAAGCAAAGTCTTTTATATTCTAAAATGCCTCCTGAATACATTGTGAAGTTAGGAATAGTTATTTGGACAAAAATGTAAAATGCATCAATGCAACGATTTTATGGAAATAGAAAGGTGAAATACAATACTTAAGAACAGATAGGCAAGTTTCATGGCGTACTGTGGAATATTATAGCCAAAAGAAGAACATTTCCTTGGAAACAAGCAGGAGGCGGACCTCTACTACGGCACTGTTTCCCAAAGACTAGGTCACGACCCTCAGGTGGGCCGCAAGAGAATTTTTTGGGGTCGCCTTGTCCCAGTCTGCATGTAGATCTGCAATACACAGTTCTGACACATGAGAATGTATTTGAATGCTTATTCCTTTCACTACTACATATATGTGTGAATTGGGATTTTCTGTGCTCACAGAAATGAAGTCAAAGCACAGAAACAGACTGAATGTTGTCCTTGATGTGCTGCTGTGCTCTCCTCCTGCACCCCCCAACCTGAATCACTATTTAATACTTGAGTAATACTAATTGTTCAGAGAGACACGATCACTCAGTCAACAATAAAATATCCTCATTAAAGGTTGTATAGAGGATTTTCCAAGGAACGAGAAATCCAGCGACTGTTTGTCCTTTTTCAAATGTTGCGCATGCGTGAAACCACCTCCCTCCCCTACAGCTCCTACGTAGAAACACCTCCTCCCCCTCCTCTTTACGCCAGAAACAGGTTTGTTTACAGCCGGTGCTGCACATGACTTGTAAACAACTAAGTACAGTGTTGGTTAGGCAAGGTGGAGAAGTGAGGAGGCGGGGGAGCGGTGCGCGGATATTTCGTGTGTGGACAAGAAGTGAGAAGCAGGGAGAAGAGCGGAACGGGCAGCGGGGAGGAGCAGGAAAGGGGAGCAGAGAAGAGTGCGCGGAGATTCAGTGCGAATGAACTAGCTACAACACGCAGCAGCAAGCGGACTCTTTCTTTGCCTTGAAAATTACGTTTTCAGACATAGGATATCGCTTTCGTGTCCTGAAAAACGTTTGTCTAGCTCTTGGAAATAAAGTACGTTTTCATAATAAGCAGAAGTTTCCTGTCCAGGAGTAATTTGTGGACCAGTGGTTCAGTCTTTAGACCCTGTGTCTGCTTCAGTCGCGCCATCGCTGGAATGAATCTACAAGAATCACCTTAGTTTGGCTTCGCTGCTTTTCCCCTTGTCTTCTTCTTTCAGCGACCTCAAAAACGGACTTTCTTTTGCGGCGAACTGCTCCTGGATTCTTGTCTGTTATTGCAACAAACTTTGTGCGAACTGCGAGGAAGATATAGGTCAAAAAAAGCCGCTAAGAACTGTTGCGTTGGTGGAGTAAACAGCGTCTGTGCGTCTTGCGTCTGTGGACTGCGTGACAGTCGTACATAAACCACGTACCGGCGGCGCGCAGGCAAGTCAGTTACACTAGAAACGTAGGGAGTTTGATTGACAGCCTGTCAGCTCACAGATAACGAGGCAGTGTCGTTATCTATTGGCAAATGTTTAGCCCCACCACGTCCAGAGTTGATGAATTTTTATTCTCTTTTTTTTGGTCATCATAATTACAAGGCTACTGCATCTATAATCTATCATTGACAATTTGAAACAAAAAAAAAATAAAATAAAAATCCTCCATACAACCTTTAATGTTCAATAATGGTCAATAATGGTCAAATCCACCTTTATTTTGTGATTTACGAGTAATATCTATTCACTTGGGTCGTGAAGGTTCATGACTTTTAAAATGTGGGTCCCCAGAAAAAAAAGTTACATTACATCCTAAAAACAAAAAATACTGCATGACAAAATGTGTTATGTGCTGTCATTTATCTGTAAACTACAGAATAACTCTCTTTAAAAACTCAAACATTATGACTCTCTTGATCTACTACCACCAGTAAATATTCTTATCAATTTATACTCCCAACCAGAATTTCAGCAGAACCAGCATTTTGGAGCCAATATTCTATACCAGTATCGGTATCAGTACACCCCTAAAAAAATGTGCTTTTATTGACAAAAACTATCCACAGTAGGACTTTAACACAACTTCACTTATCAGATATTTTCATACACCAGCTCTCATCGATCCACATCAGACGAATCAATCAATTTGTTATTTGTCATTTACAACGATACTTCCTCAGCATCTCTCCCTCTCTCCTTCTCTCTCATTCCCTCCCTCCCACCGTCTCTCTCCCTCTTTCTCTCCTTCCCTCTTTCTCTCTCTCTTCCTTCTCTCCCTTCTCTCCCTCCCTCCCTCTCTCTCTCTCACTCCGAGGTTACAAACAAATCGAATCATTTCCGTCATGAATTACATTTTGTCACAGAGCTGGCAGCCTGGGGTCATGAAGCGTTACAGATTTGCCCATTCAAATGTGCGTCGCAAACAAAAACATGATTTGGATTTGAAACCAAACTAAACACTGCAATTTCATCCACATTTTCACGGACAATGCGTAGAATGGCTAATAATGTTGCGGCAATTCAATATTATGAGTGATGCTTTTATTTCTTGGACAGATGTAGGCGTTTGCGTGTACGTTTGACACATTCATTTTCCAGCTGTAATTTGTCACAAGTTGATTAGCATATAAAAGGATTTGTTTCTGTCTACTTTCTACTCGTGGCCTGATTGGGTTTCTTGAGGAAAAAAAGAGCATTTAATTAGAATTATGCAAATGTATTGTGAAGGATAGCGCCGCGTAAAATGCTGCTGTCTGTCCCGCAATGTACAATAAGATTCTACTGTTTTAATGATGAGTAACACCATTCTTATTTTTCAGGTAATTTTGCAATAAGTGTTATGGTAAAGGGTAGGGTTTTCCAGGCTGTAATGGTGGCAGTAGTGATAATAAGTAGGAAGTAGTAGCTGCAATAGTAGTAGTAAAAGTAGTACAATTATTAGTAGTTATAGTTGTAATAACGCAGGATAGGATCATAGTATCAGTAGTGTATTGGAAGAAGCTGTAATAGTTTTAGTAGTAACAGAACTAGTAGTAATAGTAATAGTA